GTTTTTTTCTTAAAAATCCCTGTGGAAGCTTCTCAAGGATTAGTCGCTAAGTATCAACCGGAGACACCTCCAGTCATCGGAAAACAAAAAGGGATAGGAGGAAGAAAAGAAGAAAGATACTAGAACTCACCCGAATGTCAAACGGAGTTTTTTTCTGAAAAACTTTAAAGCGACTCCTTCCAGAAAGTTCAGAAGCAACGATGGATCTGCTGACCTTAGGACTTTAAGGAAGAATGAGCAGTTGACGATGGAAGAGGAAAGACATCTCCGGCGAAGATTCAGGAAAAGGCTCTCTTAAGGAAGTTCGGAATGGCGAAACAAGAAAATGGAAGAGGAGCCCTATTTATATAGTGGCTGTTTCATCATTGGGCGCAAAAAACGAAACGGCGCATTTAATGAACACGACATCCCAAGCCGGGGAAAGCGGTTCGAGGCAATGATGAAGCATTGGTGGTTGTTGGGAAACCCTGCGTCTCCTTACGACGCGTGCCATCGGTGTCAGAAGATCGAAGGCTGGGGGGCAGTTGATGGGACTTTTCTGAAATGCTCAATGATGAAGACACGTGTCCTCGATATTACCAAAACACTGTTGCTAAGATCAAGCACCATCGGCACATAAAGGTCCTCGCCCCCGAGGTACTCGTCATATAGGATCATGGCGTTCAGTACGTTTTACAACCAACACGTAGTCTCGGTCTGATATGGTACCTCGGTCGGTATCCTCCCTCGGTTCCGAGATGAGCCTTTCCTCGGTGCCGAGGTGTACCCCGTCCTGGACGCCTCCTCTACTCCAGGATAAGCTTTTGACGTACAGGTCATTAGCCTAGGCTAGTCTAGGTTATTCATCATGACCTCGTCTTACACAATTAATGTCAGAACGTACTGGAATGCAGGGTCCACAGCCAATGGGGGATGGACGCGTGGCATATGATATCACATCGAAGACAGAGAAACCTCATGCCGTTGCTGACACGCGACTTGGGAAAGCAAACGATTAATTGCACCATTCCCTTGATGAGACCGCATTCAATGCGGTAAGACTTGAAAATGAAAGGCAATAAATGCTCCTAATACAGAGCATTTATTGCATCCTCCCCGAGAGGAGTACATTGTACCGTCGGCATCCCGATGACCCAGCATTGATTGCTCGGGACCCCGAGTAGTTAAGAAGAGAAGACATTCCTCATCAGAATCAATGCGCACACTGCCTGTACCTAATGATCACCTACTGACTACACTGACAGCAATCATGAGCTTTTGAGGTATAAATACTCCTTGCAAAAGGCAAGACGGGTATGCAACAAAAAATTCTTTACTACAATACACACTCAGTGTTTTCTCCTTCCTTTCTCTTTCTCAAAGACTGACTAGATCGTCGGAGGGGATACGCCGGAAAACACTCCGGTGCCCTTCTAACTTGTTCTTTGTTCCAGGAACCTCTTTCAGCCTTACTGGATCGTTCTTCCGCTCCCCCAGGATCTCCCGTTGCCGTTCCAGGTTACCACCGGACCTCACAGGTTGTTCCAAACAGCGTGGTTGGTCACTCAACCGGCTCACTCGAGTTCACCAAGGGAGAGATCTGTTCTCATTTTTTATATTGTGCAGGATCTTGCACGCACACTTCTTAAAAACCTTTGTCAAGGTTTACAAATATGATTTGCAATCAAATACTTATAATAGACCCACTGTGAATACATTTACTATTGAACATTGACATCTTGATTCATTGCATTTGCATGTCCTAAAAAAGTAAACTTTCGAAAACATAGTGGTCAGCCTTCCTACCAAAATATCACCTTGATGGAACCATTTGAGTATGAGTTACAATTAATTTCAATCAATTTGTAGCCAGTAATCTCTCAAAAGGGGAACTTACACACTTTATAAGATAATTATGAAAGCTAAAAAAGTGCAGATTCGACAAAATTAATAGAAAATGACTAAGTTATTTGCTGGGTACCAGGACAATAGTTCGTATTCCACATAAGGCTCATATTATTATTCTCGACTGCTACTACCTGTAATATCACAGATGAAAAGTGTAAGTGGGGTGTTAAAAGAGGTTGACACATATGTTTATGCAAATAATAATCGAAAGGGATGAATAGAATAAGTTGATAGAATGGTAGGAATTCGAGTAGCCTGACGAAGGGACTAACCAATTGGACAGAGTTAAAATACTCTCTCACCAGCCACAAATTTTCGTTGCAGAAGGAAAGTAATGTGAGTATTTATAGCACAATGCTTGGGCAGTTCAGGTTGCCTAAAGGACTGTCTGTCGCGACTTCTAACACTTGCGTCAATCCACAATAATCTTGACCGCGACGATACTAGTGATGACTAACCATGAGTCATTGTCCCAACATTAATAAGGGGATGTGACGTTTCTCTAAACATAGTCTGGGCATGGCCCCGGGGAGGGTGCGGCAGTCGAGGCAAAAAAGGCTTCCTGAGGTTAATAATCACGATTGCTCACTATGGGACTATAACCTCGTGAGGACCATGACTAGTGCACTCCTCCTCTAGGTCCTCCCTTCTATCTCTAAACCCTTCTTAAAAACCTTTCTCAAGGTGCATGATCGAGGAAGTTTACCTAGTTTCGGTCTTTCAGCCACCTATTCATATGTCACATCATCTCATATGTTGATTCAGACCAATAACCACAGTTACATTAGGAGTCCCTCCTGATCCCAGTCAAACATATTCTAATGGGAAATGAGCCATACATTGAAAGACCTACTTGAACAAACTAAATCTTCAAGACGCTGCCCTAGGTCGAGGTTGGCAATTATGTTCATCCATTCCTGTTGTTTAGTTCTTTCTTGAGAATGTCATATTGCCCAACTCTAAGTGAGGACCCTTCCTCATAGTCCAGTGGGCCAATTGAGCAACAATGTTTATATAGGTTAAGGATGTCATTCGACAGTGGGGGAGACGAGTCTCGTCGAGGTTGCCCCCAAACTTGTGCGGTTCCATTTTTGTCCATCTTTGGTAAAGGGTCCATTCTGTCACTTCCAAAGCAACGGGGATGTGTTTCGCTCTGTTATGGTGTTGCACCTGAGGACTTCACAACCAGGGTTGTCGTACCTTAGCTGTCACACATGAGGTGTCGCGCCTAGGACGTCGCATCTCACACCTTAGTTGTGCTTGGGGCATCGTCCCTGGCCCCCGGGAAGAGGGGGGGAGTCACACCTGAGGGTGTCGCACTTGACACTGTTATCCATACTATTCCAATTGGACCTTGTGGGGCCCCACTTCCATGGTAGCTACTAATTGATCTCACTTGTCTTGTTATGGTGTGGACATGTGTCTTGAATTTATCAAGTACTACAAAAAATAACCTCACTGAAGCAAAATTCAACCCATACTCCCAGCTATTCTATCTACACACCCTCACACATTGTGCATTTCAATTCAACTGAGCTCAACAAAGTCTTGATCCCATATATTTGGGATCAACTAGGCAAATCTTATTAGAAAACTTCCAACTTTACCTCTCTACTAAAATATTTTTCTCTCTATAACCAACAAAATTCAATTATGAAGAAAAAGAAAGCATTTTCATTTATCTCACCTAATCTGTTCAAAAGCAATGACACTCACAAAAAGAAGATGGACACACTCATAAAACCAAGAAAATACATTGTGCCCTAAGCGAGTAAAGTGAAAAAAATTATTCATAAAACATTTCAACTTTGACAGATATATCACAAATTTCTTTTAAAAATCATTAAAGAGAGAGGGAGGGAAGGAGAGAGAGATTTGAGTTAAAGATGACTAATTGAAGTTCTATCTATTAAATGAGTAGAGATAAAAGTTGTATGACCAACAGGTTTTTGGTTTAATGATACCCTTCAACATGTGAAGATTTTACCTTGGTTAAGAGTTTAAGTCTACTAAGCGACAAAAAATATGGTTAGTTGGTAGGACAAACCTCAGTTACTTGAACGAACTGTATTCAAATTTCTAGTGTGAGTTTGAATCCCCACCGAAGTACAAATCTTGATTTGAGTAGTGTATCCGAATATGAGTTAAAGAACCGGTTTATGCACTCAGAGTTTGGCTTCGAACTCACAAGCCTGAGTAACATAAGAGCGTTTTTATTCGCCTGGGTAGACCAACAATTTTCCCTTTACCCAAAAATAAAAAAGTTGTTTGACACAGGTAATGTTAACATTTTATGCATCCCCTCATAAGCCAAATGAAGTTCCATGCACATACAAAATTTGTAACACAAGAAGGTTTCTCTATGGCTTTTTGTGCTTTTTTCATTTCAGAACTTATAATGATTTAGGCACAATTGTTGCCATGTATGAAAATTTCAGTCTTATTTAGCTGCCCTCACCCAAATACTCCAAAGGCTTAATCTCTTTGGTGCCATGTTGAAAGATAATAAACATATCTCCTTATTGATTCGAAAAAATAAATGCTTGTTTTTTCCAGTCCACACTCTTCCAAACGATTATCAAATCTAAGAAATCCCCCTCCCCCAAAAATAAAATAAAAAAACAAGAAAAAAATCATATCCTAGATAGGAAAATTTTACAGGAAACACAATGCCCATTTGGTCATCTTCTATGTGGCAAACATGACAATTCCTTGATGTAGCATTTCTTAGGCAAACAGACCTCTTCTTAACATTCTACTCAACCAGACCCAGCCAGTTTTGCACACCATAACCTACTTACACCTGGCATTTACCCAATAGATTCCAGGTGAACCCTGAAAAGAGAAAATTGGAGACTTTCAATAGCAACAAAAAGCTTATCTCTAATTGATATCATATGTTCCACTCATGCATAGACACATAGCACTCTATGGCCCCCACAAATGAGGTTATCTCACTTACCATCCCTACTCATGTGATTCTCTCTTTGAATTGAGCTGGGGACATCAATGTCCATGCAATAAATACCAAAAGTAAGAGGCGGCACTAGCAGCTAAAAATGATTTAAGACCATCTGATCAGGACTGGTGATTCAATTTAAGCCCTCATAAATCTCATCCACTGACTTAACTTAAGCCAACCCATACCCCTATAAATTTCAACAACAATGTGAGTTCTTGCTCATCCACAACCCTTTCTTCTTTCCCTTCAGCATTTTCTCTGGCTCCTACTGTACCTTTTTGACTCATAAAACCTTCAAAAGTAAAATAATGGCAAGCTCTCGCCTTGCAAGGTTTGTCACTGAGGTTGCACCATCAAAATTTGTTGGTGTCATGAGGCACCACCGAGCTTCAAAGATGTTAGATACAATAAATGAAGACGAGAGGGAATTTAGCACAAACGATTCTCTTACTTTGGCTCCAAAGAGTTCAGCCTCATCAACTTCATCTTCATCTTCATCTTCGAAGGCAAGTACTTGCAAGCACTTTCTCATTGATGTTCAAAGATCTTACTCAATCTTGGGCAACTAAAAAACCTACTTTCCTGGTGGTATCTCGAGATTGAAGAGATCAAATTCCTCCCGGGCACATTTTGGAGCCAATTAAAGCTGCACTTTTTTCTGACTAGTCTGTTATTTTGTTCTTCTAAGCTATGGAGTCCGGGGGATCTTGGCTGAAGCCTAAGACTTGCTGAGACTGTATAAAGATAGATTATTGTACCAAGCAATAGTGTAATGGAGTGAAAAGTTATATTGCAGCTCTTTCTCTCTGATGGATTTTCAGATTTTTCTGTAAATATTCCAGTATGAGTTTCTCTATTTCTTTGAGCAACTATTCATAAAATAAAATGGCAGCCCAATGCATGACGATCCCGGCACATTGGGGTAAGGGGAGAGTCAGATATTCGTAGTCTTAGCCCTCATATGGAGAGGATATTTGATGTCCAAAACACAGTAATCTTACTACTATTATAAAGCCCGCCCTCTAAATTGTATAATTTGTCATGACAACTAAAAATCAATTCTAATACTTAACAGATATAAGCGTGGCTGAGAAAATATTGTCCCCAATATCGTTTTGAACATTGAAAGACTCAAACCCAAAAAAAAAATTATTCATTCCCTATATTTTGTCTTATTTTTTAAAGAAAAACAACACTAAACCACAAGAATCATGTGTCTTCTTTCTCTTCATTCATACTTTTTGGTTTGATATGATGAAAGAGTACTGTGATTCCTGACCAAGAAGGTAATTCTGCAGGTTTACTCTAAGATGGACATTCCATTTGAGTAATTTTTCAAATAATTCATGCAAGTGGGAGACATAAAAGCCATCAAACGCATGCCAAATCTAATGGATTCAAGCTGCATTACTGCCCTAACATGTTTTTAGGATTTAGTGCTTTTCAAATCCAAGCCAACCACCAAGTGGGGTGGTCTAAGTAGGTATCGGCCGAACTTCTCACCTAAGGTTGGATGTTCAAGTTTTGGAGTCCACATTAAAATTCAAAATTTGTTTCCGAAAGGAGTAACAGGCACAGTTAGAAACTTCATGATCCTACCGAAGGAAATTGAATGAATTTAATTTTTAACTAGTGAATATGGATGGATAAATAAGGTGAGAAATGAGATTTAAGGAGTGAGAATTACTCCTCCCTATTACAAATCAGGATGGCCCATATTGGGCTGGGCTAGGCTGGGCCAGAACATGGAAATAAACCTATTTACTAGGCCCAACCTAGACTCCTATTACATCTCCAAAAAGGCAGAGAAGAAAAAAAAAAAAAAAAACTTTTTCTTTGGTCATTATCAAGGATGAGGGAAGAGTTGGGTTTTTACCTCTATTTTTGCAACTCGTAAATCCCTTAATTTTCTATTAATGTTTATTACTTGTCTCCTCTCATTCTTGTATCTCTCTTAAACTCTATGAATCTCACTCTTTTACAATCGCACACATAAGTTGTCATGCGAAGAACTCAATAGTAAAGGTGTCAGTCGTGTCGAATTAAATAGATTCGTGTCCGATCTAATTAGAGTCAGGTAAAAAATTATTTAATCTCGTACATAATTCGTTTAATTAAACGAGTGAAATCTACAAACTAAACATGATTCTTTTATTAAACAAATTATCCGACACAATTTGTTTAATCCGTTTAATAAATATTTTTATAATAAAAAATAATTATTAATTTTTTTAACTGATCTAATTACTAAATTACATATATTATTTTGATTAAATTTTTTTTGAATAATTATTAATTTTATTTAAATGGGTGATAAACGGGTTAACATATATCAGTTGAACACAATTTGTTATTAAACGGGGTGTACCTGTTTATTAAACAGGTCATCTGTATCAGTTAAGACATTACTCAAATTCACTTAACTTCGTATCGATTCATATCGTGTCGCATTTTGTCAGATTTACTCACTAGTTATATCATTAGTTAGAGGTGGCAATTAAGTCGTGTCGGGTTGGGTTATTGCTAGTTCATGTCAAACATTAGTCAATCTTAACTCAATTTATTTAATTAATCATGTCGTGTCAAGTTGACATATTTATTTTAGTGTCGTATTTGTATTCTTATTCGTGTTAACCCACATAAACTTTGAGTAAAAAATTTAACTTTAATATTCTATTTTCACTTAATTGAATTCATGCTCATACTTTTTTTACAAATTAAAAATTAATTTAATAAACATAATAATAATAAGAAGTAAAAATATCTTTTTAATACAATAATTATGTCAATACTTAATAAATAGTTACAAATAATTAACATTTTATTTCTATAATACTAGTACAACGTGTTAATTTCGTGTTGTTTGTGTTATCATACAAATAAAAAAATAAAAAAAATGTTCATTCTTTAAATAAACGGGTTAATCGTATCAATTTTGGGTTTGGCAGCTTAAACTCGAACATGACCCGTTTATATTTCGTGTTTGCATGTCTGGTCATTTTTGAATTCGTATCGATTTATAATTGAATTTATGTCATCAAATTTGTATCGAGTTCGAATCATAAGTCCAACATTACCACCCCAACCATAAGTGAAAGAGATTTGAAATGGGCCTGGTCTCGCTCAGTACATATTGCTGGTCCTTTCCGCTGATGCAAATTTTGCAAGTTTGACATAGTCCTATGTTTAAAACTATGGATTAAGGCATCGATATATATGAAAATTGAGCTTCATCCTTTGTTCTGTTTAATAGCAAAATAACATATCAATCCAAAAAAACATTATCCATCATCATTACTTTAATTTCTTATGGATAAGGTTTCAATTAAATTTTTTTTTTTTTTAATTTCTAGAGTATGTGCATTATATAATTTTTTTTGTCCATCGACTAGTAATTAAGAAGATGAAGTAAAAGACGTTCTAAGTTCGAATTTTGATAATTTCTTATAAACATGTAATAGGGAATTTATCACTTATGAATCTCTTAATTCTACCGTAGATGATCTTTTTTTAACCAGTTTAGGGAAAGAATTAGTTGAGGTGTCTATAAACTGGTTTAAACACTCTTGACAATTTAATAAAAAAAAAAAAAAGAGGAGATGAAGCAACACAATGACGTCCATGCTTTGAAAATAATAAAAAAATTAAATGCATAATTTATCATTTCCTTAATAAAAAAAATTGCATTATTGGTGCAACACCTACCCCACTTATTTTTTAAAGCAATAATTGAAGCCTTTTCATCTATGACTATGATTACATAATTTGTCATTCTCCTTTACAATATTAATATTTTCTTGACGATATCGTACCTCTAAAATTTATTACTTTAAATGGTATTTTAATTACTTTTGTGGGTTATTTTATAATTAAAAAATTTATCACTTTCACAGTTGATTTATTATTTTTGTGAATTTTTTACCACTGTTATACGTTTTTTTACTATATTTGTGATAATTATTTTTATCACCTTTTTTAAATAAAAAAAATTTATTACTTTTATAAGTGATTTATCATATTTGTAGATATTTTTTATCACCGTTGTGATAATTGTTTTTACCTTCCGGGACAGTGTTGAGCCAGTTATGTGAGTGTCTCAAGTGCTGTGCTGATATTAAAGTGTCTGTCTAAATCAAGCCCCCTTAGTTTGTCGTTGAATAGACTTAAAATCTTATTATATATATTTTTAATTTCATTAATTAAGCATTCTAGCCAATTATATTTAAATCAATCCAAAAAAATAATTATTTTATTTATAATAAAAATATTTATCCATCAGGAATTTACATGATAATAGATTTTGTTCATTTGGCCAGTAATTAAAGAAGTTAGTCAACATCTTGACGTCCATGCTTGAAAATAAAATATCAAATGCATAATTTATTATTTCCTTAATAAAAAAATATGCATTATTTTTCTATACCTAACTTTGCATTTTTTTATGCAATAATTCAATTCATATATTCAAAATTATTATCCTTTCTCCTCTAAAATAATATTATTTTTTGCCGATATTATTTATATTATCCTCATATTCAAATTTCTGGTCCCACAACAATCTGACCCTTTGGGTAGAGTAATTTTATGATACCCAACAAAAAATTGATACCTTACCAAAAATTATTATTACAATTGTAGCTTTTATCTCAAAATATTAATACTTGTATAGTCAACTAAATCTTAGATTATTATATTTGTATAGTCAATTATTTAGTAATCTTATTCGGGAATAAGATCATTACTATAATCTAATTTTCAATAATGATGGGTATCATAAACCCATGATTAATGGTCGTAATCTCATACCTAAACTAAATTTCTGACAATAACAAAATAGTAAATACGAGATTATTATGATAATTAAAATCAATGTATCTCATTACTGAGAATAAGATACCAATTTTCAATTAAATTTAATGTCATTCAAACGTGCACTCAAATCTTTCATTTAAAGAAACACAACTCAAAACCAATTACCGAAGGCATAACTTTCAGATATAATACTTTTTTTTATATTCTATTTATTTGATTTATTATTTTATTGAAGCATTTAAAAAACAAAGAGGGGCCAATGGGGATGAATTTGGCTCATGTTTTCTTTCTTATTCCCCGAAAGGAAAGGAAAAGTAGGGGAATCATACTTTTTACCCCAAAAAAAATTTATTTTATACTTTTAAAGAATAAATTTTTTATATTACACCCTTAATAGATTAAAAGAATTGTAATATAACATTTCTGTTAATTTTATTTTTTATTCTGTTAAAAATTGTCCCGTTAATTTTAACAAAATGAGCATAAAAAACTAATGGCAAGATATTTTTCATATATTAAAAGTGTAATATAAAAAAAATTAATTTTTATAAGTATAAAATAAAAATTCTTAATTCACCCGAAAAGTTCAAAAACAAAAAAGGTGATTAGGTGAATGTGACCCACATTGACAAATGGCATCATTTAATTTTTAGAATTGGGTCCCAATTGGTTGGTAGTGGGTTAGGCAGCATTGGCCATATGCCATGTGTCCCATTAATTATGATTAAAATCACTGTCAAAATATAATTTTAAAATATAATTTTTATCTTCTTTAGCGACTTAATAATGTTGATTGACTTTTGATAATACCAAAATTAAAATCATCATATAAGACAAATCCGTATCATAGCAAAAGAATTATTGGCTCTAGGGACAAATTAACAAACTTGTAAACAAGGGATCAAGACAACCCAAATGATAATTTGGCTCGGTCACAACTGAAAGTAGTTCAATTATTCTTAAATGAGCTTGATTAGTTTAATGTAATTTGGTCCACAAGAAGAAGGGGGATAAAGATAAATTAAGGAAAAGACTTCGCCATCGAATTTTTCTTGCAAAACGGGTCAGATGAGTATAATATTAACTATTTTTAGCATCAAAGGTAAATTATCTTAAATTAAAATAAT